GAAGCGACAGATTGGGACCAGCAAGCTCAGGTTACAGATTATATTTAGCGTAGTTGTTATGTAATTATCTGCAGATTAACATAATGTAGTTTCTCTAAGCGGATTACAACGGCCTTCGAGGACAACCTGAGTTCGCTCCACACTTGTCCTGACACGCGACTCACACAAGCAGTTTTCATAACGCCTCCTACATATTGAAGAAGAGATAAGCAAACTCGATGAAATCCACTTGTCGGCTCTCTGTTTCGAGTCGAGACGTGAATTTCTCGAACATCGAGTTCTAGTTTCCAGTATGGAAGTCGAGGAGCTCGGTGTCGAGTGGAACGCCGGTTTAGCGACGAAAAGTCCCGTATTGACTCAGAATGAATATCGACATAATTTTCCTTGCTCGGCTTTTTGTGACGGGTTCGACGCCCCGGATCAGAGCGCGGATGATGGAGATTGGTGTAAGGACATCAAAACCCAAACGCAGATTCAATGCACGTCGTTCGGAGCTGAAACGAGGTTTCAGGGATCGGGGCAGAATGACGAAAACGAGATGATGGAGTCTCCATTCGAATCCTACATGATCCTCAGGTTTGGCTGATGTCCCCACGGCTCACCTCCGGGACTCCTCCGTCTCCCTCGACGTTCGCATGCAGCTGAATGTGCTACGACCGGGAAGCCATGTAACCGTGTAGAGCCCGTGCTGATGTTCTTATCATATCACATCCCGCAGATGATGTATGTCTCGAGCTCGGCGCCACACCCTGTTTCATCGGGGATGAAGATCGGCGGAACTCCTTTACCTGCCGGCAAAACTCACGGACGACATTCTCTCCTGGATTCGGATGTTTCGTTGGCGATGAGGCGAGGGTCTGAATTATCTAATTGCTCTCCGGGTAGAACAGAAGCAGACGAGGACGACTTCGGCACGCGCTGGGCTCCAATAGGCAAGAGCAGAGTCTCGACGTCGGCACGCTCACTCACTCACACATACATACATATACGCAGAGTGTGAGATTGGAAGGGTCTGACTAACTGACTGGCGGGCTGGCTGGCTGCCTGACTCTGTCTTCTCAGGGCTTAAACGTGATATTCCGGTAACGAAGCTTTGATCCCTGAGGGCTTCTTTTAATCACTTCGGCAGGAACTCCATCACGAATGAAATAATAACAATCGCTTGGCCTGATTATGACGGACGGACTGCTGCACCGAAAGACCGACACTGACTGCTTCACTCGCTCGCTCGTCGGTGGGTTGGCTGGTTGACGGTCGCTGCCAACGACAATCTTTGCTGCCGCCGCCGCCGCACCATCGCAGCCACCACCATCGCTGTTGACGAGGAAAGCCCGGGGCGAGGGCCATTAGCATAACCAACCAGGAACGGAACTTCGCAAAACTCTGTTTAATGACACCAAACCGGTGTCAACTGAGAACAGAGTTCATTGCTTGCAGATTGTTCGACCCGTGATCTTTCCTCAGAGATCGCGGGCTAGCTCAGCGCATAATCGCTCGAGAAGAGATCCCTTCTCCGTTGTCCGTCTCCTCCAGATGGCCGATTTCCGCCGAAAATCCGAGGCGTTGTTAGAGTTCGTTCACATTTCTCGCTTCTCAGAATTTCCGAACTGGAGCCCGATGCACCGTCGACAGTGAGACTCTCCGGAATGTGAGCAGCAGCCTCCTCTAAACTCGACATTCCCGATGGCACACAAGACAAGGAAGAATTTGCAGCGAAATCACATTGAAAATATGTTCCTCCGGAGCCGTTCGCGCAGATATGATTGATGCACGAGGATAAATTGAGTCCGGCGTGAATTATTCACGGGGCTTCCGTACTTAATCAGCCTGGGCCGCTTTGTTCCGAGTTATGTGCCCATGCGGGGGAGCGAAGAATTAGAGCTGGCTTGCCTCCAAGCAGAATGAGCCAGACCAACGAACTCGTGGGGAACTATCAACATTGGTTAAGGGAACCATTATTCCTGTTGTTAGGCTGAATGATGTCTAGATATTGAGTTATTCGTCGTTCAAAGCCGGCGGCCCACGAGCTGGCTTGGATTCAAGACGGGCCGACGCTTCCGTTTGTATGGGAGTCGGCCGAGCAGTCTCGCATTGTCGGGAGGATACCATCGTCGGGATACGGGAGCTTGGTAAGTTCGGCATCCGTCATGCCAGGATGGAGCTCGAAGATATAGTTTGTTCGGTGGAATCACGGGTCCCCTGATCGATTCGAGACAGAAAACTGAAGTACGAGAGCGATGACGATCCCCTGAAATCGTTGGGAATCTCATCTCTCCGACTCGATTCGCCCGTGGGTCGTGTTTCGTCATTGAATTGAGTTCCGCGAGACTCCGATGCCTTGCTTATAGAGACCGCTCTATCGAGTGCTCAAGCAAATTTCCCCGGTCTCCACGTGTCCCAATGTTAAGCAATGAAGTCCCGACAAGCGAACAAAAGGGGACACCCGGAAGGGGTGCGAGAGAGCTGCGCGCTGGCTAGGGGCGAGCTTTGACGACGGGAGTGATCAAGAAGAGGAGCAAGATAAGCGAAACTATTTTCCCATTGTGTTGCAAATTTATGTGTGTCGAGCGAGTCCCGAGCAACTAGGCTGACAGATGACGGGATGAACTTAGAGCCGCTGCTTCCTCCACCGTCGGCACGAGACTTTGTCATCGTCTCACTCTGCTCAGTCGGGCCCCTTCTGGGATTGCATTTCACACTACTTGCTCTAAATCGTGGAAATCAAATCTCCTCTGCTCTCGTTCTAAATGACGGTGCCCCACCCGTTCCATTGCTTCGTTGATACCTACTACGTGGCCCGCAGAGGGTACGTTTCTCGGAATTCCATTCGAGGGTTTGATTATCCGAGCAGCGCGCGGCGACCAAGTCGGTTATTCCGCTTGGACGTCCGTTATAATCTAGGCATGCGCCTAACGAGGTCCAGGCCGGTGACGAGGTCACCGAATCAAATCAGGCTTGGCGTCCGTCGGTTCGTTAATTGCAGTCATTCACTAATTTAGATGCTAATCCGGTAATAACATAAGGTCGTGTAATGTCTTCATTTTCTGCCCCTTCCCGCGGTCTCCCGCAGAGTTGTTCTCTCGTCTCGCAGCTCCCCGCTGAGCGTTGGTCCCGTCTGGAGGGTTCGGCAGAAGCGCATCTCCTCGATTTTCGACACATCAGCTAATTTTTTCTCCCAATCAATGACCCGTGTAGTAGGTTTTTTCCCCACGCTCCTCGTATCTTCGTGTCGTCCTCGACAAGAGTTAAGTAGAGCCATGATCCCGGCAAGTTTCGATTCCCGGTACTTCATGCTCTGTATTTTCTCCGGATGATGCAACGATACCGGATCTTTGCGGCGCCGCGACTGAAGAATGTCGAAATGGAAAAATAAGGAATACGGTCTGACGCTTCGATGTAGAAATTCCTGCTTGGGTTCGACATTCGGGAAGCCGTTGCGAAGCGTCTGAAGCGATTGCCCGTGCGTCAGGCAGGCCTCGGGGGAATCACAGAGTGAGCGATTGGCCCCGGGATTCGGAATTATTCGCCGCTTCAGGACTGGGGATTCACACCGTAGAAGATTGATCAGATCCGTCTCGCCTCCAACCACCAGGCAAATTTCGGTTCATTCAATTCCTGCGTCTTCGTTGTACGGAACAAGTGTCGCAACTCGACGGAGCTTGTCCTACCGCGATGATTTTCGAAGGCTCAACGGAGGTATCGCGCCGCGGCGACCATCCACCCTCTCTCTCCTTCGCCTTTTTGGCCTCGATGTAGCCCCGTCTCCGACCCCTCACTACGAGCCTGAGTGGCGACCGGGCGGGGAGCTGGCTCGTTTCGTTCTCTCAACACCAGTCGCCCAATTACCCCCGCGTGAAATAAGTCGTTTGAGCGAACGAAGTGTACTCCAAGTTCACTCAATCTACACTCTAACACACACAATTTCCTCATTCCACTCCTCTCGGTGCATGTGAGGAGTACTTAGCCCGGTCCCCAGCACCGCAGTCGACAAGCAAACACTCCGCTTGATACACATACCGCACTCAAGCCTATTCGCACCTGTTGGGGAGACACCTTGTCAATGCCGCAGTGTTTCTTTTGCCACTAATGATTTGATTGACAACATGTTGTTGGAATGAATTGAGCATCAACTTTATTGAACAAAGAGCTTTCATTGTATCAGAATACGATTAGCCATGCTGGCGGATTTGGGAAAGCATGAGTTTCCACATGAACAATGTCTCCCAAATGTTCCAGAAACATCGTCCGAAGAATAAGAAATCAATGAATTCATCAAATTCTATAGTCTATCATCATTATTGCACTATATACGCTTGCGTCTAACGATGGGTCCTCCTCAGTTGAGTGATTCGTCTCTCAGAGTGTTTTGCTTCCTTGAGCCTCGATCATACACGAGCTTCCCCGATGGAGGAGGAGAAATGTACGGCCATCTCGATTGCATTCGGACGCTAGGACTCCACGTCAAGCCGGAGGAATTCGATCGACATCATCATCATTGTGGTAACGAATCGTGAAAAATACTATGCCTACATTCTAATGAGTGACCGCGTCAGATATGCAGAAGGCCAAGAAACAACGATAGGAATCTCCGGCGTCCTGGATAACTCCGTTTTTTGCAGTCCACGTTCGAATAGACGGTATCCGAGCGTCACTTCTCCTCTACGCTCCTAGATATTCTCCTTCGTGATCACCAAGTCTCTTAGCATCGTACCCATCCTGATTATTCGTACCACGATATTCATTAGGTAATATCTATCAATTAGCAGAGATATCGGCGTCCTCCCTGAGCTAGGTGACTCGAGTCGCTGACTCGCGCTCGATCTATGGAAAGTCGCAAGCTTCGATTGAGAAACTGTCTCACAGCACATACCCATCATTCCGAATCGGAAACTCCGCATGACGCCATCAAGTCTACTTCCGCGGAGACTCGACTCCGCAAGACTCTACTGGAAGACAGAGCGCACTGGCAGCAAGTCGAAGCTTCGCCGCCTTATAGTCATTCAATCAGATTCCTGAGACGCGTTTTCTTCAGAATGGCTGAGGTTATGATTGTTATTACTATTGTTGTTATTGTTATTATTACTATTATTGTTGTTGTTGTTGTTTGTGGTCGAGACAGCCGACGTTTCTTTCAGTCTACTCCGAAGATCCGATACCCCCAAGGATGAGGAGACATCGTCGCTGTCGTCAGTCGCAGAAACTGTAAGTCCATACGTTTTCATGATGTGAGGGGCTGACTACGTTATACTCATCGCACTCAGGAGCAACTCGGAGCTCTGGATTAAGACTGAATCGTCAACTTACTCGGTGTCTTGGAAGCTGTGGGAACTTGACAACACGCACAGAGAGGATGCGGATGGTGGAAACCTTTTAGGAACGACGAAGTCGGAGGTAAGTACATCGGAGGGAAGGGAAATCTCGGCGCACCTATGCCTGCTCCGATAGAAACGCCTAACCCCTCTACAGCGCTTTGCATTCGCCTGGAAAAGGTCGATAATTAGGCTCATCATTCTCAATCGCACCGAGATACCGTTCCTGGAATCTGCTGATCGGCTCGGAGCAGCCGGATCTCAGAAGTTAGTTCGAGGAAAAATCGGGAACAGACTAACCCATCGAAAGCCGAGAATAACGGATGTTGATGCTGTCTCAAAGCAGCCGCGAAAGAAGTTAGAGCGTCCTTAAAGAGCGGCGCGGAAGTTATGGCGACCGAAGGGCTCGGGGTCTCAGTTTTCGGTGCGTCTGACGAAGACGGTCTCTCTTCCGGAAGTTCAGAGTCGATGTCCGGATCCGGGCTGCCTGGTGATCGTTTACCCTCGATCGTGGTCGACTGGACCAGATCCGTACTCAGTCGATCTTTGTCTTCACGCTCCTTGCGGAGCCTCTCAGCTTTCCTCCATTTTGCCCTCCGGTTCTGGAACCACACCTGCAAGGGACAGAGAAGGCTATCGTGAGGGGAACCGGGTGGTCTCATTTACTAACGAATAGAATATCTCTCCCTGGGAGGTCTTTCCACAAGTGTGAGGTGTGAGTAGAAGCAGGAAGACCGACCGCCGGAGGAAGAGCTCCCGCGAATGACTTAATAAATGAATGGAATCGAAGCACCGCCCAACGGAGCAGCGAGCTCCATCAGCCTATCCCCCTGTCAGCCGCTTGGTTGGTCGCTCGGTCCCCATGAGCGGCTCGCCGAGAGGCGACCGACGACGTAACGGCATGGATTACAGGTAATAAATAAATGATCGAGATGATCGCCTTTTCCTTTATTGATGGAGTCGACGACAATAAATCGAAGCGGCTTCATACAGATCAATCAGCTCGTAACTCCGTCCCGGCACCTCACCGAGATAGCCGTAATAACCATGTCATTATCGTCGCCTTTTCATGCTCGTGAACACGTTCGCAGCCGAGCTCCATGGGCCAGTGAGCGGCTTTTCGGAGCCCTTGGGCGCTGCTCGGAAGTCGGACGCACCGAACGATATGACTCGAACGAATGCCCATTGTGAAGTTCTGAAGTCACGCTTTTGAATCAGATTCCCAAGAGGCATCGGACAGAAACTGCTCCAACCCCAAATAGACTCGACTCGGTGGATGACATGCTCGGCGACGGAGAGAGCCGAGCTGCTCGACGAGGTGGTGATAGTAGCGGAGAAACGCTTCGTTAGTTGCCAAGATTTACTGCTCGATGTCGAGGGATAATCAAAATCAAGCACTTTTACGACCCTTAATGAAGTCATACGAACGATAGAAGCTTTCGAACGAATCGTTGGATTCCCCGACGGACAGGTGGATCCATGCATACTCATGGGGGAGCGTCACCATCGTACAGTGGTCAAAGGTACCCCGAGCAACAAGGGCTTCTGAGCGGTCACTTTCCCGCGATTAGGTTCGATGCGGGGCTCGGAGCATAAGTCCAGAACGAGTCGCGAATCCTGACTCGGGACACAATGTAGGAACTCGCGGAGCCTCGGGTGATGATTTAGCATACGAACGAAGAATCGGGCCGCCTCATCAGAAACGGATAAGGGCGAATGAAGCTCCTCTCCGCTTGCGGACAAGAACTAATGCCCTTCCCTCAGCTCCCGCTCTAGTTCCTCTTGAGACGGGAGGCGATCCTCTCGAGATCGCTGTTATTAGGGACTCATCGGTATGGTGGCAGCCAACGACGCTGTAGCCGCAAAAATAACCGCATTTGTATCAATTGCTTGCCGTCCCGCTAAGTGGCATCCTGAAGGGACGGACGACTTTGTCTATTTCGCTCCTGGTTCGGGCACAATGGTCGGAAGCTCTAATCCACGGTAAGGACGTAGCCCACTCCCTGACTCAGGAGCGAGTCAGCCAGCCAACGAGCGATCGGGGACTGCCCGACTGACTCAACAACCAGTCGCCTAATGGATCGACAGGCTCCCGGTTCGCCACCTGAACTAATTGTCGAGAGCCACTCGATTATCCGGAACTCGTGCTTACCTGGACCCTTGCTTCGGTCAAGTTTATCTTCATCGCGAGATCTTCTCGCGTGAACACATCGGGATAGTGCGTCTGAGCGAAAGCTCTCTCGAGCTCCTCGAGCTGCTGTACTGTGAATGTGGTACGGTTCCTACGTTGTCCTCTCCTAACGAAGGCATCCTCGTGCAGCTCAGAAGTGTACGAAGCTGGGCTGTGGAAGCTGCTCGTCGAGGTCGAGGACGTATCTGCAAAACACGGGACGCGTTGATTTTCATCATCTCGAGAGTACGAGAAATATCTTCTTGGGTCTCCAGCTCTGTTTGGTCTGGAACAAGCACCGGGGAGCTTCACCCGGAAAGGAATGAAGTACAAGGAGCGATCATCATCGGTTTCCGTCGGGAAGAGCTCGCTGCTGAATTAGTACGAGCCATCCCTCGATCGCGACGAGGGCAGTAATTGGTCTATGCGGATCTACAGGAGACCCGAGACCGCTTAGGCAAGCCGGATATCCAGCGCTACGGCGCAACAAGCATAGAAATAAGCAGCAGCAAGGGAATGTGTGAGCCAGGGAGGAAACCAATGCCACAGTGCAGCATTCAAAAGGAATTCGTTGTCCTACCCTGAGGGACAAATCGAGATCAAATTTGGAGCGAGGAAGAAAAAAGAGAAACGAAGAAAGCCGAAGGCGTCCGTGGTGACTGCATTCCGAGGAGGCGGGTCGGAAGGGAGCACGGAAGGGAAGCTCGGTAATGTTGATGCGAATTGGCAACGAGTTCTTCTCCGCTCCCGCATCGCCTTCGCTGTTCCGGCAGCCGGGTCTGTCCCAAAGTCCCGATAATCATCCCGGCACGGCCCACCCTTCGACGCTGGAGCAAGACAAGCCGGCGCGTCTCTAAGTGCATTTTCTTTTTCGTCTTCAGCTCCGAGCGCGCGGGACGCTCATCAGCAACTCCGAGTCGATGGTGAAGACACCGAAGAATAGAAGCGAGAAGCTACAAATTCATACTGAACAAATCGTTTTTTCTTCTGCGGTCCTGTACTCGGAAAGTCATCAGATGTCACAGGTCTTCCCGCCCGCTCCCATTGTGATCTACCCGTCTGACGAATTAGGTGCTTGCGACCGCGCCCTCGCGACCGGCGAGAGATCCGGGTCGGGGCTAACAGGATACACGCAGGCGTTCTCGATCATTGTAGTACCTACATACAGCCAATTCCGGCCCGGCAGCAAAGTCCAATGCTTAAGCGAGATTATTTGAGTTTTGCCTGTTGGCGACGTGCCTTGTCCCCAAATTCAAGCGGGCAAACTCGACGGCCTGTCCTCTCCTTTTCTTGGGCTGTGCTCCTCTTTGCTTATTGGCTTGCAAACTAGTTTATCATCCTGAATTTGTTGTCCTTCCTGCTGCAGAGACTTCTTGTTGGTTGGCTTTGATGCGGCCGGCCACTATTCAGACCACGTCTTGGTAGACATCGTGCCAGTTCAGTCCAGCCAGCCGGCCGGCGCTGCCACTTACTCTTTGCTCACAGTGAGGCCGCGTCTCGAGTGGATTTCACTCGACCGACGCGACGGTCTGTTCCCCTAACTTCAGATTGTCCGCGCGTCTCCGAACTCTTTCAGGACATTATCGAAGCTCCGAAGTATCCCGCAAGGGCGTTGGCGTCAGCCAGCGACCAGGGGACCTAAGTCTCGCGTTCTCACCGAGTCTCGAGTCGCGCTCGCTCCCGAGACTTCCCGACAGCTGACGGACCTTTGAATCTGATCGACACAAGCGTTCCCCCGAGGACTCTACCTTGCTGGATCGATCTGAACCTCTCCCAGTTTTTTTCGGCATTCCAGTGCCTATTCGATCATGCTCGGTACTTACACGGAGTGCTAACGGGTGTAGTGGCAGTTGACGCAGCGGCAGCCGCATAGAACGGCAAGGCTGGCGGTCGGACCCCAGGTATCGGGCAATGGTAGCAGAACATAGATGAAGGCGGCTGAAAAAAACCTCAGATTAGGAGTTGTTTTTCCTTTGTTCATCTTTCAGCAGAGATTCACCTCGATGATGGTTTCGAATGAGGAGCTTCCGCACTCGAAAGTCAAAGGAGAACGTGTCGGAGCACGACTAGCGCGGCGGCACGGCAAATTGAATTCGGTCGATATTCGTTGTTTCGTTACTAATCACTTTGCCAAACCCACTTTCTCGGCTTCGGAATTTGGTCTCCAGGGACGCCATGCGACTCATTCGTTGTGTTCCCTCCGCACTCCCCGAGCGAGGAACAATGTTTTCAAATCGAGGGAGTTTTTCCGCCAAGAATATATTCTCCATCCGCGCGCTTTCGGCGCGAGCTCGCGAGTCGGAGACGCTGAACCGAGAATGTTTCTCTTCTTCGATTCCGAGGCAATCTGTCGCAACGCTGCGAGTGCCGAGGGTCTCCGAAGCCGCCAAGGAATATGCGTGAGGCTATGAACGACTTACATATATACCAGTAGATGATATGCTCGCAGTAATCGAGCCAGAGACACGGTCAAAGGACACGGCCTGAACGCTGATCCAGAGAGTAAATGCGGCTGGGAGAATATCGCTTGGAACCCATGCAGAAGTCTGGAAGGCATCTATCACCCGAATGGGGCCGCTGCGTTTCCTGAGTCTCGCTCGAAACGGTAGAGTCATAATGCGAGTAGGCCCGGACTACCTGGCCATGCTTCCGTTAGCTAGTTCGTTGGCTCATTCCTCCGGCCGTATCGTCTCGTCTGTCTTAATATCCCAATATAACCAAGGAAGCGGAACGCGCCGGAGATAATTGCATCTTAGTCAAATATGCCAAGAAAATACGCTGCCAAATGTCTCATTGCCCTAATTATTCCTCAGGCTCAGGAGTGGAGCTTCCCCACTCCGACGACCTCATCCTTCAAGAATCGACTAACAGCATTGCGCGTTAATCATGATACATGTAGATCTTCATCGTGTGAGGGACATGATTGTGGCAGACCTCATCCCGGCAACTGAGCGAAGGGATCCGATGACTCCCCACCAATTAGTGTTAGAAAAGTATTTCGAATATGTGAACGTCTGAATGTAGTCATTGTGGACAGCAGAGCCTCTTTCTATCGGCAGTACCTATTACGTCTGGCCGGGCAGAACTAATGCTCCTGCTGCCTCGCAAAACGAGATGATGCTTGCTTGGCCTCGAGCTGGCGATTATCTGGGGTCTTCGCATCGAGAGACCCGAGTTTTCTATCCCGTACGGCTGAACCAGAGATTCACTCCTGTTGGGTGACGAATGAAGAGCCCCTCGCTCCGAGAACTCATGTTCACGATTCCGGTATCCTGATCCAAGATTCCCTTCATTCCTCCGGTGAGCGAGAGCTCGTGTGCTCTCCGTTGTCGTCTCCCTCCGTATTCTCCGTCTTGATCTGTTCGCGAAAATGATTCGGAGCTTCATTGTAATCGATTTTTTTTGTCTAGTGACCAGCCCGGCTCGACTCATACGAGCAAGTGCACGGAAAGCCTTGGCTGGACCGCCTTATTCCCTGTGGCCTCGGCGAAAGCAGCCAGGCAGCCAGTCGACGGGGCGAAGAAGAGAGTAAATGTAATAATGCCGTAATTATTATTGTTTTAGTAATAAGGCGGAGTGTCAGAGGTGGATTTAATATTCTCACTTTATTTATCCTCCGTTGTTCCCACAGGGTGCTGTCTTATTCAATTAGAACCATATTTGATGGGGCTTCCGTCTGTTCCATGACCACCCAGCCTCCTAGCCGAGAGCGCCCGCCGTCATCCCGGAGGATCGCGCGCCCGCTCGCTCGCTCGACCGCCCTCTTTCCCCACTCGCCCGCCCCCCACGACGCAGCGAGCGAACAGCACCCAGGACACCGTGTGACCACAGAGTGCCGATGCGGGCGAAAGTTCTTTCGCAGACAACGCCAGTAATTGCGGTCATCTCGAAACGACGAACGCCGCACCGGCTCGATTCTCGAACTCCCGAACGCCGCAAAGCCCTGGTCGGCGACGCCTGGGATACCGTCGGAACGCCGACTACCTTCGAAGGTGTGGCGGCGTTGAAGCTCGGAACGTCGAAAAGCGTTGCGGAATAGTAAATCGACGGTTTCTTCCGAAACGCGTTCATGGCAGTATGGCAGTACAGCCTATACCTTGCTCCGAGCTGTGCAATTCTGTTCTCGGTAGAATTTGCGAAAGAGCGTAGCGGTGTCGGGTGTTTGGTCGGTGGTCGACCGAGCGAGCGACGGAATTACCCAGCGGAAGGCAAGCAAGCAAGCGCCTGGTGATTCCTTTGCGTGATACCCGAGGCGTTGAAAATGAGGCCTAATCGAGTAACGATTAAAAGTGTAAATTGCACCCAGTGCTTCTCCAATAGACTAATCGCGTTTCAGCCGGGGGACGGTGCGAAGTGCTGGGATCGAGTTACAGCGTACGCGGCGGCAGCCGGTTCGCCCACTCTCACGTTGGCTTGCTTCCTCCGAACACGAAGCGACGAACATAACTGACAAGAGCTAGGTTTTGCGCCAGTCGGAGGCTATTTCAGCTCGCTGTCCTCGAAATTCAAGAGATCCTCGTCTGCATGCCGAACGGGATTCCTCGAGTCCTATGGATCCGAGTCAACACCTCCGGTGTCCCCGTCCAGCTCCGGAGGGAGGACAAAGCTGGTCACAAACTTCCAATCGGTGCAGCTGTCCGCCGTCTGCATCCGTCCATCCTTCATGTCGTTCCGCTCGAGCGGTAGCAGCACCACTCAGGAGACGAGATTCCCGGATAGCGGGCTAGGCTGAATCCATTTATAGAGATACAATCCTTATTGGATCTCTTGAACCGACGCGGCGGTGGCGGCGACAGCGGCTCACTATCCTGAAGCGCTTAGTCTTGATCAACACCGAGTAGATCTTCGAAGGGGAAAAAATCCCTCCAGCCTGCCAACCAAGGACAGTCTACTACAGCGCCGCCTCTCGTCCTGCCGTGGACGGGGAAACTGAATTTATAGATATCGTCTAATCTCGTTCATCCAACGTCGATCCACTTTCGGACGAGAAGACCGGGGAGGGCGTCTCTTTTCGCTCCTCGCATACACTCCTTGAATACTGTCCACTAGGAAGAAGAGGCGAGCTGTCAGCAGGCCTTCCTTAGTTTGCGCTTTCGCGCGAGAACATCGGATAGATATCGGTGGTCTCGAGTATCGACAAATCTATTTCTCGGCCGAGAGCGCTTGCAGCTCTCGGTGTCCGGTTCGCGGTTCCTGAGAGCATCGATGCACCATCAGCGATTCCGTCCGTCGAAGCCAGGTTACCAAGTTACCCGAGTCGAGCATCGCCAGTTTTACCTTCGACCGCCCAATCAACCTGCGATACCGCCACCGTGTCCGGCTTCTATCGTCGAGTGACCTCACCTCACACACTCCCTATCTCTGTCAGGGCAGCAAAGTTAAACTCGATCAACCAAATGCAGAGCGGGTACCTCTCGCAGGGTTCAGCAAGCGGACGTGAAGCTTCGATGGAAGCAATAATTCGACCCATCAACATCGGAGCTTGTCCTGAGACGCACACACAACGGAGTGCCCGCTATCTACAAAAACCCACCCGACTTTAGAACGGGATCCATTATGCGACACTGATGGAAGGGTCGGATATGTGGAAAGCGGCTCTCTAGGTGTTTCGACCAGGTCTCTGAGTAATTTCGCCCGCACGTATGCGGTTCTGCATGTATCATCGGGTGTTTGTAGTGTCTGTGGGGACAGTCGGATTCAGCGTGGACTCGTCAAAGAGCGCTCGATCAATCAAAGACCGATAAAAACTGTGTGAAAATTTATCGGGCTCCTGAATGGGCTGCTTCGGCCGCAAGTGCATACGCATCGAAAGATAAACAGAATCCAAGATTGGTTTTCTCTATCCTCAGTGTTCCTTGTCGCCTTCTCACTCTTCGTGATTCTTCGGAATGTATTCGATGCGCGGTTTCCATATCCCGACCTGCCGAGCCGGCACTCAGGACACGCACGTTCTTATTGAAGAGAGGCGCTCTAGGAGGAGCAACTCGGATGAAGTCGCTTCCGACAACGATCTTGTTCAGCTCTGCATCAAGAACTCTGCTGAGTCGACCCGGATTGAGGGATCTGTCAAGGTCTCGCGGAAAGACGGACTTCGCACGTGGGGAAAAAAAGAAGTGAAAATTGTGTTGCTACAAAGTCATTACAACTCTGCCCGAACGGCGACTCGGGTCGGATGGAATAAGCTTGTCTAATACGGGTCGCTGGGACAAACCAAGGGGAACGACTACTTCAATCATGCGACTTGCAAAAACTCCTCCCGCGGTGGCATCAGGCAAGACTAAGGTGATATAAAGTCGGGCAAAAAAACGACTTAAACGGCCCGTCGGTATCCAATGGAATCGCGACATTCACCATCACGCTCTGACTCGTCGCGATGTGGCTTGCGACCGACTGACTAGTCGTGCCGCGTTTCGTCTCGTTGCAGAAATTGTGTCATTTCTCCTTTGCGAGCTCGTGCTTCTCGTTTTTTCTCGCTCTGTTTCGCTCGCGCGGCCCTACTAGCCTTCGCTGTTATAGCGCGCTCTTCTTGTAACGACTTCAAGTTGATGAAGCCATTTCGCCGAATGAGCAAAGCTGCTCAGCGAGGTCTTTTTAGTCAGACGCATTTTTGGACATTATAGTTACTACTCCCACCCTTTCTTTTGCTTCCCCGAGCGCGTAAGCCGCGATGAGCCAGAGGTTCTGCTCCAACGTTTCCTCCTTCCATCTTCACCGTATCTCCCTCTCGAGAGAGAGACGATGGCATTCGTGATGAGTTTTGACGAAATGACGATTTCGGAGTTCTCTGAATGGTAAATCCGGGATCGGTATAAAAAAAACGGCAGCCGAAGGGGAAACGAGAAAACGGATGCGTTCCACGCATAAAATCACCCGCTCAATGACGATGCGTATGCTCTTCAAAACTGCGATTAAGGAGCATGTCGCATATATCGGTGAGGTTTCCGAAAGGGCCGTTTCTGCGTCAGGCGCGACGAATCGACGCGAAGGAAAAATATTTCCTTGACTGGCTCCATCTGCGTGAAATATCTTGGGTTTTCATGAATGGACGAAAGTGATTGCCCGTCGTGAAGGCGTCTGTGTAGACGTTGATGACTACATCTTGTCTTCTAATTCAAGAAGAATGCGCTGTCTCTTGCAAGGACGAAACAACAGACTCCCGTTCCAAGGATCGGTATGCGACCATTGGATTGCGCCCCGCGGCACGTTCTCCAGAACGAGAGCAAGCAGGAACTCTTGGAGCGTCTCACGATATCAGCGGGCTGCTTTTCAATGACTCGAGTGAGTACTTCAATAGTGAGCGTATAAGCTCCTGGACTGATGTACATACTCCGTCTTCGACCAGAATGAGGCTTCGACTAATCGGTCGCATATATAGGGATATCTTGCCCGAGGCGGATGCGGAATCGCATCGGACGACTTTTTCGACCGCACGCAAACCCGACAAAAATTCGCCCGGGCTCGGCTCATGAAAGCCCGAGCAACCCCAACCGGCCGAGCTGAATTACCAGGCTCAGTTCCTCAACTCCACTTCTGCCGCTCCCTCCATCTCAAATATGTATGGGTATCTGCTTCTACTACCGCCTGCATCGCGTTCGTTGGCATTGTTTTATGGACCCTAACGAAGCCCCCGAGGCTCGCGAACGAGTCGAGGTCTGCATACGCCGCATAATTTATGAATTCCTCCACAAATAGCATTATTATCGTTATTATCAACATCGTCGTCGTCGCCGGAAACGGCGTTATTGAATTGAGCTGAGCCAAAAATTACACAGCAGAGTAATCTCGCCTGGGATTGCGGCTTTCGCACGGTCCTCGCCAGGAAGTTGGCAAGTCGGCCTCTCATCGGCAATGATTCAGATAGTACACTTCGGTTGTACTGATTCGTAGACGGTCTTGCGACATGGAAGGACGAGACGTCCTTTGTCCGTCCCGTACGCTCCTTGGAGCTTCCCGGAAAATGTCCGCTTTCCGAGATTCCCAAGGGGATAGCACTGATTTCAATTGAGACAAGAAATTTCCGCGCAATTTCTTCGTTTTCGGCACCGAGGTCCCGACGGCACGAGCATGAGTCGAGGGTCGGATCGCAGTTTTTTCCCTCAGGGAATCGTCTTTGAGTCTCTCAACGGTCAGCGATGGACATTGATGGTTAGTCGAGTCTTGCGCATCGGGAAAAAAAGCTGAGGAATCGGATTGAAATCTATGGGTCAGGCGACAAATACGGAATTTAGTGTTCGCCTTCGATGCCCGCGTCTCGTCCCAATGTCCGCCGCAACCTCTTCCCTTGAGAAAAATGTCCCCTTATATAGCCCCTCTATTCACGGATGACCTGATTAGGTTTTCCAGGTCCCAGCCGTTGACGGCTTAAATCGCAGCGTTCTCCTTCCATGAGATAGGGACAGCGGATACTTGTCTCGTCTGGTGGAGCACGGAATCGAATGTAATATCTATCTCTGATCGCCGTCATTGCGGCGCGGCGGGGCAAATGATGCACGCTACACTGAATGAGCTCCTAGTGTGGGGAAACGATGACCACAACAAGCGATAGCGTGACAGGAGTCCGTCTCGGAGATCAATTAAAACCGATAGAATCCGCCCATGATCTGATTGGACACTACGTGGCAACCTCCGAACACATTGAAAGAAGCATCTATGATAAGGCGACACTCTCGTGAGGGTCAAAGGAGTAAACTTCATGGCTGGAGGCCGGCAGGAGTTTCTCGAACGATAATTGCTAATCACTCATTCATTATCTTCCCAGGAGCTTCCGCGGAGGAGCGGGACGCCGAGAGAAGGAACAAAGTACAGTCTCGAGATAATCAAATACGTTTTTGGACAACCTGTTTTTATAGCAGACCGGGGAAAGCCCGGCTGCGAGACGGTTTACCGATCTCTCCACCTAGGCTGAGGATTCTCCGTCTCGCATAGTTGTCTGTCAAAAAAAGATATATTGTCCTCAACGGATCTTCATGTATCTGGCGCGAGCCCGATATTCTGAAGTAGGCGCTTCCGCTGACCCTCGAGAGTTAAGACATGACATCGGCTCGAGGCTTACATAGTCGCATTCTGAATGTACACACATAAGTCGTAACAAAACGGGGCATCTCGGTCGGAACAAAATACACTGCGGGGAATCTCCTCATGTTGCTCATCACTTATCGCATCATGTCAGAGCAACTAAATGAATTCTACGACATTTCCCTTGAATTCCCCCAGCTACGGAAGAGCGGAAATTCAATTGGGCTCCCTCGAGCCTTGCGATTCCCCGAGATCCGCGTTATAGGATTCGATAATGTCTAGCTACAATTTTCGTCATGTCTTCACTCCTTCTCAGGCGTTTCTGCATCAGCATATTTTGGGGGCTCAATCTTCCGAATGTACCTCGAGTGCGTGAGCTATCGGCGCAGATGGCACGGACCCAGAACAGGACGATGCTGAGCACCACGGAACGCGTGGAGGTAATATCTACGCTACAGAATCGAATATTCTACACGGGACGCGCGGAATTCCAGCGGAGAACTTGCTCTCCTCAAGAGAGAATCAGTGAGAAAGAAGGCATCCCTACAGCGAGCGGCCGCGTTCGTGACTCATTCTCGCGGGTAGGAAACCTGTTGATTTTTTCACGCGGTCCGCGTGATATTTTTGCGCTATTCGTCCTCTGCGATAGATAAGAAGGATTTCCGATGGTGGTCGAAACAGTCGGTTCACAGAAGAGTGGAAACCTGCTGCTGGGACATATTATGCGTCCCTGCGAAAATTGACGCTGATGTCACCTATTCCAGAGCAGATCTCTATAAATCTTCTCTGACTAAGACTCTTCAGAACGCGGAACTGGAGCCGCTCTCTTATTCTAGTACATACAGTTATCGAAAACTCCCTTTCAGGGAAGAAACTGTCGACTCACTTTGTTGAAGTGCTCCAGGATGACTGTATTGCAGAATCCCGTCTATGAGAAATTTAGTCTGGTGCGGTAGGAAACGGAGAGCACGGTCCTCTCCTCACAAAGCACACTGTCAGGAAACTTCCGAATTTCCTATTCGACGTATGCGAGTCGAACTTCTTCGCAAGACTCGAATACGGAAACTTTTGGAATCTCAAACGACAATCGGCGAGAGGTTGCCAACAGGGGCGACGTTCTGGGAACGCCGAATGTCAGACCAAGGAGACGCACGCGCTCGCGAGCGTCCACTCCGGTGTTGGATTCAGGCCGGTTAGCGTGTGTCTCCGAAGCCTGTTCTCGTGATCGAATGATCTTCTGATCTCGACGAGTGAGTATTTGTGATCGCGCGCCGTGCTCGGAGCTAACAACAGACAGACAGCATCTCATCATGACGTCACAGGGTTCGAGTCCCTCGATTGGCTGAAATGTTCGAGCTTCGGAGTTCGGGCGGAGCTTACCTCGGCGATGGGAGGGGCGAGCCGCGAGGCAAATTGAATAAATCTTTTTAATTGCTTTCTCCTCCGGGACACAGGAGTGGGGGTCCGCAATTAGCACATTAAAGCTGCCCCCGGCTCCTTCTCCCGCCGACTGCCCCCGCTAGTCGAAGACCCTTAATTC